CGGAAGAGCCATATGGAGAAGGAAACCTATAAATGTTCTCAGTGCGGGGACATTTTCACAAAGAGCTCGGCCTTCGTAGCCCACCTCAGGACCCACAGGGGAGAGCCCCCTTACCCGTGCCTTGACTGCGGGGAGGCCTTCTTTGACAGCTCAGCTTTTAACAAACACCGGAAAAAGCACTTGGTAGAGAAACCTTATCAGTGCCCCGAGTGCGGAATAGGCTTCACTGTTCACTCTGCCCTCCTTCTTCACCAGAAGAGCCATATGGGACCCAGACCCCACGTATGTCCTGACTGCGGGAGAGCCTTCCGGGAGAACACGACCCTCCGGAGACACCAGCGGATCCACACGGGCGAGAAGCCGTATCAGTGCTCTTACTGTGAGAAAAGCTTTCGGGCTAGCTCCACCCTCATCATCCACCGGAGGATCCACACCGGAGAGAAACCCTACAAATGCACCAAATGCACAAAGTGCTTCACGTCCAGCTCTTCCCTCATGAAGCATCGGCGGACTCACCTACGGGACGAGGCACCTGTGGGTCCTGTGAGTCACAGCGAGTGACTTGCTTTGCCTAATCCCTTCAGGCTGCCTTGGGATATCTATCCCAGAGACAGTGCAGTCCCACCAGGTCCCAGCCATCTGCTCATTAATGGGAACTTCCTCTGTCTGTCTGTCCCTCACTCAGAAACCCCGGATGTGGAGGAGATGCCCTTATGAGTGCTTCTCTTCTGAGTTTCTGGCATCTTCCGGCAACCCCAAAATAGTCAGCTCTGCCTCTTTTGGCAGAGCTTGCCAAAACTTGAGATCCCTCTCTTGCCCTGCCCTGGCCAATGTTTGCACTCATCCTGTCCATGCAGTGGCTAAAAAGGAGGCTTAAATGTACAGGTACAACCCATGTCTCAGTGTCTGTATACAGCTTTGGTGCTCTGACAAGTAACAGTATGGCATTTTGTTGTATATGGGTTCCTCAAACCATTGCATCGGCGTTTCACTGACCTCCTTTGCCCTCGGACAGCATCTGGCTCGGGGTGACTTTGTTAGGCAAAGCTGCTGTTCCCTGTGTGAAGGAGAGGCGAACCAAAAACCTTTTCCTGTCCAAACTTTTAATTCATACAGTGGTGGGTAGGGGAACGGAAACTGGATACTGAGGATCTGAGGGTGAAGAGAAAGAAGGGCCCAGTCCAACTCGTGGTAAAATTAGATATTGTAGATACATTGAGTGTCCATTATCAGAAACAATGCAATGCCTCCAGATGAAGTCAGTGATGGGCTTTAAAACAAGCAGGTTGGTTTTAGAAGCAGAAGAAGGTGGCTTTTTTTTTAAGAGAAGGCCCATGCAAGCCAGCCCTGCAGCCAAGGGGTCCCCACTGCCTTGATGTTTGGTCTGTTTGCTGTTCTCTCTTTGATGGGGCATGGTGCCAGATGTCTCTGGAAAAGGGTCTTTCATACGCAGATGTCTCCTCTCATGATTTCCCTGTTGTACTTATTATGTCCTATTTGATTTTTATACTGCTGTGTTCAAAATACACCACAATGAATTTGGTGCAAATATGACACCCCAAGTCATGGCTTATTTGTGAATTTTCTTGCTTTTAAAGAGGTGCAATAAAGTGGAACTGGGTTTCCTGGAGTGCAGAATCTTTATCAAGCGAGAACATGTGATTTTTTTTTTCCTTTAAAAAGGTGGCACTGCTGAAAAAAGTTGCTTTAGAAATTTGTTAGTCACAGCTTACAATGACTGAGGTTATATTCAAGTTGTTCTTCTTTTGCTTCTTTAAATGTCATACACAACGGGTTCTGTCTCTAAATAGATCAACCTCAAACTGCAGGTCAAATCTGAGGACGTGGTGCACCCGCAAGAGAAAGTTTGAATTCTGCTGGGTGATAGGATCCTCAGGACATGGAGATGCCTATCCAAAACTGAACAGCCTCAGAACTCATCCAGATTTTTCCTTGGTGCTGTGTTTTGTTGTCTTTGCTCTAGACGCTCTCCCCTGCCTTGTTGCTGATTTTTTTTTTTCCTTAGGTGGGGAGAAAAAGAGAGGGGAGAGTATTAAGACGCTGTATCCTATGCTGCTTGGACCACAATAGTGTAACACACCCCCGAGGGAATAGGGATGCAAGCGCTGTGGCTTACGTTAGCTCCTGGAACCATCTGTGAAGGAAACACCTGACCCTGGAAGGGGCACGTCCTTGGAGCTGGGATTACAGCAGCTATTGGCAGCCCAAGGCTCTGGCTGGGGGAAGACTTAAGCAAAATATTAGGATTAACTTGTGCTGGTGACCGAAGCACCGTTGCAAATGATGATCCAGCACTGAAAGCGTCAGCGTGAGGGCAGAGCGCTGTCTCCATCCTACCCTCTTGGATGCTGAATGGCACAACCTGGCACTCGCAAGGGTGCTCTCCGCTGCCTGGGGGGGCTCGGGAGGGAAGAAAGGCCCTGGGGGCAGCACAGCTGTACACGGGGGAGGTGAGGATGAGGCTCCGACCTGTGACCCCAGCACTGGGATGATGCTCTGACCCCTGGGATATACCAGCCTCTTGGATGCAGTCGAGGCCTCTACTCTGCCAGGCACGTGCCAGGGAGTGAGCCATGGGGTGTATCATCACAGGGGTCCTCGTATGGGCACTGGGAGCCCTGTGCTGCTCGAGGAAGACTTCCCATGCTGTCTTCTACAGTAACAGCCAAAAAACCTGTTTGCGAGGCTGGACGCCTGTGCTCCTGCCGAGCAAAAGCAGAGCAGCACCAGCCCTGCCCTGAGCAGGAATCAGGCCAATTAAAAGTTGGAGACAGCCCCCCGGCAGGGAAGAGCTGAGAAGCGAGGCTGTTGCCGCTCTCGCGCGCGGCTTGCGTTCCTCGCTGCCGCTGTGGCACCTTCGGCTCCGGCTTCCTTGCAATTAAAAGTTGGAGACAGCCCCCCGGCAGGGAAGAGCTGAGAAGCGAGGCTGTTGCCGCTCTCGCGCGCGGCTTGCGTTCCTCGCTGCCGCTGTGGCACCTTCGGCTCCGGCTTCCTTGCGCCGTGTTTCCTGGGACGAGGTGTGCCAAAGTGCCAAAGTGAAGCTGGGGCGAGGAGGGGGGCGGCTCTCGTGCCTCCTCCTCCCGCTCCC